AAGATTTGTATTAAAAATAAACATCAAAGAATAACAATTAAGTTGTTTGTCCTGTATTAATTGCTTGCTGCAATAGTAGAGTTTCTGATTCTTTTCCTGGTCACAGGCACCCCCAGAACCCCTCACCTGCTCTGGAGCCCTTCCTTATTTCTACAAGTTCAAAGAGAACTTTTTATAGAGAAGGAGGACATGCAAATAAGACTCTCCACAGTGATGAAAACAGCCCAGCCCAGCCTCAGCTCCGGAAGAGGCATCAGTTCAGGGGTTCCCAGGGGCTCCATACTGACTCAGAACCAACATGGCGTGTGGGCTGAGCTGGCTTCTCCTGGTGGCTGTGTTAGGAGGTAACTCATGGGCGACAGAGACACGAAGCATGGGAGAGATGAGACAGATCCTCTGTTTGAGGAGTATTTCCTGACCAGGATGTCTTTGTGTTTGCAGGGGTCCAGTGTGAGGTGCAGCTGGTGGAGTCTGGGGGAGACTTGGTGAAGCCCACGGGGTCTCTGAGACTCTCCTGTGCAGCCTCTGGATTCAATTTTGGCGGCTATCGGATGTACTGGGTCCGCCAGGCTCCATGGAAGGGCCTAGAGTGGGTCTCAACCATAAGTAGTAGTGGTAGTCCTATATACTATGCGGACTCTGTGAAGGGCCGATTCAACATTTCCAGAGACAACAGCAAGAACACGTCTTTCTGCAAATGAGCCGCCTGACGGAGGAGGACATGGCCCTGTACTACTGTGCGAAAGACACAGTGTGGGGAAGGCCGTGTGGGCCCAGACACAAACCGCCTGCAAAAGGGAGCAGGCTGAGCTTCAGGGAAGCAGGAGCCCAGGAGGCTCTGAGCACTCTCCCCTGAGGAAACGTTGCTCATGAACAGATGAATCATGTTTCTGTGGAGATCAGGACTGACCTGCCCCTCAGCTTTCAGATGACCCCATGGGCACTTTGTCCTGTGGGTTGTGGCCCTGAGCCTCCATCCCCGCTGTGGGCAGTAATGACTTTTCACACTCTCTCTTTCCTGATGAAAAGTTTCCAGTGACAGGATCATTACTTCTCTGGGACCTGAGGGACACATTATTCTCTTGTAGAAATTAAAATGACCCTGTAGAATTTTCATTGTCTTCTGTAAGAATCACTTGCTCAGAAAGGGAAATTCTGGTGTCCACTCAGCTGTTTGCTGACTCCTTCCTTCTGCTCTCAGAGAGACTCTATGCCAACTGACCTGCTGCCAGGTAGACTCTACTTGGTCACCTTACACCTGGAGTTCTGTTCTCCTGTACCGACTGACCTCTCGTCCTCCATCCACTCACTAAGTGGACATTCAGTTTTCCCCAAACCTTCTCCACCCCTCACCCATTGTAGAGGAGAGACCAGGTCCTGTGACACTGGCAGCGGTGACCCCTTCACAGTGAAACAAGATGCAAGGTCCCAGAGCATCTCTCTGAGCCCTCAATTTCTCGACATCCCCAGATATACCACACCCCAGAGACCAGGGACACTTCTTACACTGAGGCTCATGCAGAGACCATTGCGGGTGTGACTTTTAATGAATTTCTCATTGTGGACCACCCTCAACCTCCATTCACCCTCCTGAGACACTGGAATTTGGGGATTAGGATCTACATCCCCCATCCCGTCACATGGTGACACCACTGAGGCAGCTCTCCTGTTTTGCTGACCTTCCAAAGTCACCTGTTCAACCTCACAAATGTGCAATTAAATCCTCTTCACTTTAAAAATAGAAACAGGTTTATAGATTCAATGTCAATAATAAAGTTAAACTGTGAAGGTATATTTCTTATTAGAATCACATTATCAGCCCAGGTACAACACGACAAAATTGGGATAAAATGGATGGGTATCTAACAATTATGAAAACCTGTTCTTATCCAAATGCAGATGTGTTTTCTTTGGTTTGGGGCCACACCTGGCATTCTCCATGTTTAATTCCTGTCTGTGTCCTGGTCCCCCCTGTAGTGCTCAGGGTATTAGTTAGTGGTAATGGATAATGTCTTGAGACACTCATGAGCTATCATGTGCATATTCCATTGTACCTACCCAAATTGCTGTCAAGAACAAAATCACGAAAGTGTTTCTGTCATGCCAGGAGTCTCTAATAATGAGAAATGCAAAATGAATGATTTATGGTTTTATTCATTTCTTTCATCTTTTAGTAAATTACTAATTATGATCCAGCATGACTTACTTTACCTGTGTAAGGAATAAAAAACACACAAAATGACTATCTGAGGATTGATAAAAGAGATATATCTTCATTAACATACTGAATATAGAGCAAAGCATGTTAATAAAATCTTTAGCTAAAGTGAGTTTTCATCAGTTTAAGAACGTTTTCATCTCCTTCCCCCTGCCCCAATGGGACTCAGAGGTGACACCCACATATGACCACTGTCTACTTAAAGTCCAGCATAGCCATGATCCAGACACATACACATGAATCTCGTACCTGAGCAACTTGCTGCAGAGATGTCTCTTGACTTTGCCATAGGCCACTTTCACTGGGGCACTCCAGATGGGCGCAGGTCTCTTTCCTCCACCTGCCCCCTAAAAATCCAGGCTTCTGCCATGTTCTAGAACTCAGCAAAAAGCACCAGGTACAGGGTGGCAGAGACGGGAAATGCCAGGCCTCACAGGACAGGGAAGAAGTCGGCCCTTCTCCTTCCCCTCACCCCGATGGGACTCTGAGATGATGTCCACATATGGCTACTGTGTACTTACGCTCTCACACGGCCAAGATCCAGAGACACATAAATGAATCTCAGACCCCAGTAATTTGCTGCAGTGATCTCTCCAGACCCTACTTATTAAAATTTTAAAATTCCTACGGCATGCGAAGCAATACAGAACATTGTCTAGCATGGCCTTTTTAGCATGTATAAGTGGTGGTGGGACTGGTCTGAAATATTGAAGATGATCATAGTAGAGCTTGTTTGGAGGTTCTAGCAGGGGAGCGCAACTACTCGTATACCCTCGACCAAAGACCTGTCCGTCTCTATTCCGGGAAGACGTCCTCTTGGACCGAGCACGCAGCTTCGGGAGGGATGCACATGGAAGGGTGCTGTCCCTCTGCCTGCTCCCTTCTCGCGCCTCAGTGACCATCATCCTCCAGAGGCAATTGAACTGTCAGGTTTGGGCCAGCAGTGAAGCGACGTGCGGTACCTCACGAGATGGGGGTGGAGCCTTCCCTTTCCTCCCTGACCCAGTGAGACCCCGAGTCACCACCTACGAATGGCCTCGCTGTCTCCTGATCAAACTGCTTAATGGCCATAATCCCAGAGACTGAGAAACAAATCTCAGAACCCAGCGGCTTTTGGCATAAATGTGTCTGGTCCCCACAGTAGGTTATAGGTGCTGGGTCATCCCAGTCAGGAATGGCTTCATGCCTTAGCCTGTTCCCCCAGATGGCTTGGTGGCTGCCATCCTCCAGAGGCCATTGGACAGTCAGGTTTGGACCCACAGTGACGAGACACGCGGGGCCTCATGGGATGGGGTGGAGTCAGTCTTTTTATCCCTGCCCCAGAGAGACTCTGGGTTGCTGCCCACATATGGCCTCCCTGACTCTGATCAAACTGCTTAAAGGCCATGATCCCAGAGACCTGGAACAAATATCGGAACCCAGCAGGTTTTGGCAGAAATTGCTGCAGATTTAATTGTTAAAATTTTGGAATCCCAAAATTGTGTGGCTACTACTGCGGACACATGACATCATATGTTATTCATAACCAGCAACAGAAAAAAATTGTCTACAGTTGACTTTTTGGCATATCTGATTGTTGGGGTAAAATCACAAATAATAATGCTGGATCTGGTGTTGAAATATTGAATATAATCAAAGTAAGAGAGAGTAATGTGGAAATAATCTGCCCCACAGGTAGGGGGAAGGTCAGGATGGGGAGGTATACTGGGTCTTTTGGTGGTGGAAAATGGGCACTGGTGAAGGGACGTGTGTTTCATCATTGTATGACCGAGACTTAAACCTGAAAGTTGTGTATCTTTTCCCACAGTGATTCAATAAATAAATTTATAAAAAGGAAAAATAAAGTAAGGTGGAGTTCATACCCAATTCAATCAGCCTAATCAGTGACTGAATAATTAGCAATACTGCTATGTTAAAAAAAAAAAAGAATACCACTCATGAGCAAGACTTCTGGAGTGAAGTCCCAGGATTCAATCCTGTGTAAGAGATGCCAAGAGGTTGAAGCCCCTGAGAGCCCAGAGGATCTCCCTGCAGGGTGGGTACCAGGCTGCAGGGGTTGCCAAGTCCCAAGAGCACAGAGTTGCAGGCTAGAAGGGGTGCAGATATGGGGAAATGGGTGCAGAGAGGCAGAAATATTCTCAGCATGGATTTCGTTCTTCACTAAAACTAAATTTTTCTTACTCAAGAAAATCAAAATTAAAAATACGTATAGGAAACAGAAGGTTAAATTGTACAGACTTATCATTTGCGAAGGAACATTTTTCATACTGATGAAGCAGTAAAACCTGTATGCAGGGGGTGTTTATGAACATCTTAATATCTCCAATGGAAACCAAAGGGGGCATTAGAATGGTTTTGTAGTCTCATTGTTGTTTCCCTGGGGCCTCCCAGGATCCCAGAAATAACCTCAAAGCCCAAGTGTGTCCAGATGTGTTCAGGTCATACATATGTGGGTGGCCCTGAGGAGAAGGTCCTGAAAGGACGTGGCCCCCTGAGGGGGAGGTCTGTGTGCACAGAGTTCTGGGAAAGGGCAGGGTTTCATCTCCTCAAACAAGGATCAGAAAGTGGACCACTTGACTACCCTTGAAGATGGACCTGGTGGCTTCCACGAGCCCCTACTCAGGTTGGGTCAGGCCTTTAGCTATGAATTTTTCCTTCTCATGAATATACAAATTACATGAGGAACACTGAGTTAAATACAGATGTGTCTGGTCCTGACAACCTCATACAGCAGGCAGACCCACCCACACCTTCAGAAGCCCTTGAGTGCACAGTTATCACCATGGACTGGACCTGGAAAATTCTCTTCCTGGTGGCAGTGGCTGCAGGTAAGAGTCCCCATGCCTTGGGCTGAGGGAACGGGACCAGTCAAGTGGAGTCCACCCACTCCTGTATGCTGTCCACAGGTGTGAACTCCCAGGTGCAGCTGGTGCAGTCGGGGGCTGAGGTAGGAAAACCTGGGACACCAGTGAAGATCTCCTGCAAGGCGTCCGGATACACCTTCACCAGCTACTATATGCTCTGGGTGCAGCAGAGCCCTGAACAGGGGCTCGAGTGGATGGGATGGATATACCCTGGTGATGGTCGTACAAGCTACGCACAGAAGTTCCAGGGCAAACTAACCTTCACTGCAGACAAGTCCAAGGACACAGCCTACATGGAACTGAGCAGCCTAAGCATTGACGACACGGCTGTTTATTACTGTGTGAGACACACAGTGTGAAAAACACATCCTGAATGTGTCAGAAAACCGAGGAGGAGACAGCTGTGCCGGGTGAGATGACAAGGACTCTGATCTTCCCGACTTCCTCCTCAGAGAGTCAGGTTCTGAGACACATAATGGGGCTCACAGGCCATGCTTCATCTGAGGGAAAGGGTCAGGATCTCTCTCTGCCCTTCAGCAACAGCCCAGAGGAAGATGGCTTCTCTTCCGGGCAGGAAGTATATACAGAGCAGAGCGGGTTTAGGTGCTCCTCGACAGGCCAAGCACACCAGAAGAAGGTCATCTAGCAAGAAGCTCTTCCTTTTCCCAACAGACCCATCACCAGGGAGCATTCACAAATCCACCCATAGGTATCTTGTATGTTTCAGAGTGAAGCAGGTACAGTGAAAGAGTTTTCATCAAAGTTGATATGTGAATAAACTACTGCAAATTTTATTGACTATGAATTGGACCTAGCTCTTTCTGAATTGCCGGAACAAATAACAATGACTGTTTGCCACAAAGTTAGAGCCTACAGAGAGACAATAGATGTGAGCACACAGGGACACTGTGATGGGCAGGGGCCTGTCTATAGGGTAGAGGCCCTGGTGGGGGGCTGGGTTTGGTCATCCTGAGACATGGGGACACTCCTCCCCACCTGCCATTTCCTCCTGAGCAACTCCTGTTTCCTGAGAGCTCCTCAGCATTTTTCCTGTGCGGGAGGAAGAGGCACTGCTCTGACAGGGCCCCAGGGACAGGCCTGAGTTCTCTGAGCCACAGTCAGGACCTCCTCCTAGGAGCCCACACACCAGCCTCCCCCGGGTCCCTTCCTTTCTCTATGGAGGCTCCCTCATGCAAATCTGTACTCAGGATCCAGGGTGAAAATCACGTTCACACTCACACCAACTTGGGGCCCCTGACACTGTGTCTGAGATCATGGACTTCGTGGGCAGGAACATGCATCAGTGCTGGTTCCTCCTCTTCCTGGTGGCAGCTCCCGGTGTGAGTATACCTTGGACAGAGGTTCCAAGGTGGGCCTGGGGCCTCTGAGCCCGTGACTCACTGTGGTTCTCTCTCCCCAGATGTCTTGTCCCAAGTACAGCTGCATGAGTCGGGAGCAAGCCTGGTGACGTCCTTGCAGATGCTATGCCTCACATTCTCAGTCTCTGGATTCTCAGTAATGGTAATCGTGTCCACTGGGCCTGCCAGGTCCCTGGAAAGGGGCTTAATTGCATTGGTGTTATGTATACTGGGAGCGGAACAAACTATAATTCAAGTCTTCAGTCCCTAGTCAGCATCTCCACCTCCAAGAACCAGGTTTACCTAAGCAATTCAGTAACTGAGGACACAGTCCTAAATTATTGTCCAAGACACAGTGAGGTCAAGTCCCTGTCAGCCCAGACACAAACCAGCTGAGGGAGACAGGGGAGGTGCAGGCGTGCTGTGACCACCAGTGTCGCTCTGCTCCCAGGACTACAGGGCTGTGCTCCAGGAACAGAGGGGTGAGGGGCTGTCAGAAGGTCACTCTATTTTCTCGTTTATTGAAATATAAAAGACAAACTTTGTAAACCAATTATATAAATTTTAGTTACTACGTTTTATTCTAGTACAGATTTCTTTATTCCTCATCATACCTCATGGTCCACTCGAGACTTATTTCCCATTAGGTAAATTGTGGTTAATTTTCCTTCCTATAACGAACAGTATTTGACTAATGATAAATATTGACTAATTGATAAGAATTTGAGTGATGAAAACTTTCAAATGTAATTTAAAAAGTTTAATCTTCTGTTGTAATTACTGGTTTTGGCATATCGAATACACAACGGATAGCTTGCGAGGCTCTGCCATGCGGGCGGAATACTCTTGGAAGCTTGCCAGGCTTTCCGAGAGGGATAGAGGCTTTTGGGTCGACCTCTATTCGCCCTTGTAGGTGTTACCTTATTTGAACTCTATCAAATATGGTATGTCAATTACAGAAGATGGGTATTTAGTGTCTTATAATGTGTAGTGTGGCCACAAAGCACGAGTAGTGGAGGTCTGCCAGTGAGGTATTTATCTGGTCCTGGTAGGGGTAGGGTGGATCTTCTGTGCGCAATCCAATCCCTGGGTCTCTGGTGGATGGTGGAAGCAGACAGAGAAGGGTATGATGGGGCTCCTGATTTTAATCCCTTCGTAACCTGTGCTTGGTGGGAGCAAGCAGAGAATCTCTGTCCCTGGGTCCGTTGAGCCTGGAGTCCAAGGTCTCAGAGTTCCGCTTATCTTGTTCTCTGGGGCCTCAGTCGTGCGTGAGTCTTGGCTGGAGTGGCTGCGCAGGTCCGGAAAGTGTCCTGGAGTGTGGCGGCGGCCTTTGATTCTGTTAAGACAGAAGCAGTCATTGAAGCCCTAGCCAATCAGGGCATTCAAGCTCAATACATCAAGAGCCTCCGTGAGCCATATCAGGGCATTCAAGCTCAATACATCAAGATCCTCCAAGATCTGTATTGCAGATTCACTACCAGGATCTTACGATTCTACAAAGAAGTAATCATTGATATCAAGAGAGGGGTTCGACAGGGTGATACCATTTCACCGAAACTCTTCAGATCCACCCTCGAGAACATCATGCAACGACTGGAATGGGAAGGAATGGGAGTGAAGATTACATGGTCGGCAACTACACCACCTTCACTTTGCTGATGATATTGTTTTAATCACTTAATCACTTAACTTCCCGTTAGTCGTCGATTTGCTCGAGCGGGCGCCAGTAACGTCTCCATTTGTCCCTGTCGCGTGCTAGTGTAGCCCAATGGCATCTCTTCGCTCCGGGAACATGGAGGGCCTCAAACTGATCGTTCATGACCTTGACAAAGAAGTCTGACCATCTGGTAGGTGGGCGGCCACGCGGTCTCTTGACATCCCGTGGAATCCAATCAGTAACAGCTCTAGTCCAACGGTCGTCTTTAAATCTCATTACGTGACCAGCCCATCTGATTTTCGACACCTTGGCAAATGAGACAGCGTCCCTGATCCTTGATCGTCGACGGATGTCAGAACTCCGGATTCGTTCTCTCATTTGAGTGAAACGTGATATTCCAAGCATAGCTCTTTCTATTCTTCTTTGGGAGACCTGAATGGCGTTCTCATCTTGTTTGCGTAGGGCCCAGGTCTCTGAGGCATATGTTAATGCAGGAAGAACAGTGGAATCAAAGAGATGTGCACGGAGCCGGAGGTTCTTCGTCCTCTTAGCTATTTCTTCGACGTTCTTGAAGGCGTTCCAAGCCGCTCTCTTCCTCCTGCGCAGCTCGGGTGCCAGGTCATTTGTCATGTTGACCTCTCGACCTAGGTACACATAGCTGTTGCATTCGGAGATGGTCGTTCCATTGAGAGCGAATGGGGCGTCAGGAACAATGCTGTTTCTCATAAACATTGTCTTCGTAAGATTCAGCTGTAGTCCTACCTTTCCACACTCACGGTCAAAGTCGGCCAGCATTTGTGCCGCTTGGCTGATGTTTGGTGTTATTAAAACAATGTCATCAGCAAAGCGGAGGTGGTGTAGTTGCCGAACATCTATCTTCACTCCCATTCCTTCCCATTCCAGTCGTCGCATGATGTTCTCGAGGGTGGCACTGAAGAGTTTTGGTAAAATGGTATCACCCTGCCGCACCCCTCTCTTGACATCAACGATCACTTCTTTGTAGAATGGTGAGATCCTGGTAGTGAATCCGCAATACAGCTCACGGAGGATCCTGATGTATTGGGCTTGAATGCCCTGATTGGCTAGGGCTTCAATGACCGCTTCCGTCTCAACAGAATCAAAGGCCTTCTTTAAATCAATGAACGTTAAGCAGAGCGGCATCTTGAACTCCCGAGAAACCTCAATGAGTTTGATTATCGTGTGGATATGGTCGATGGTGCTGAATCCTTTGCGGAACCCTGCTTGCTCACATGGTTGTCCTTCATCTAGTGTTCTGCCAATCCTATTCAGGATGACTCGAGTGAACAACTTGTAGATGACAGACAATAGGCAGATCGGGCGATAGTTGCCAATGTCATGGATGTCTCCCTTCTTGAACAGTAGTACGGTCCTGCTGGTTTTCCATTGAGATGGAACCTTGCATTCAGACAGGTAGCGAGTGAAGAGCCGAGCCAGTGTATTGATGAGTACTGACGGCAGGTTCTTCAGGTGTTCAGGTCTGACCTTGTCTGGGCCGGGTGCTGTTTGCTTCTTTACTGACGAAATGGCGTGTCGGATTTCGGAAGGGAGAACGTTGGGAACGACATACCCATCCTGTGGAATTTGGTATGTCGGCAAGTGGACATGGCTATCGAAGAGATTTGAGTAGAAGTCATGGATAATCTTCTCCATTGCCGTTCTGGAGGATGTGATGGATCCATCAGGACGTCGGAGGGCAGTCATCTTGGTCTTATAGTTGGCGAAGGACAGGCGGGCGTTACGAATACTTTTCCCGGCTTCTGCCGCATCTACCAGTACTTCTGCTCTTCTCTCTTTGAGGTCTTCCTTGATCGCATCTCTGCACTGCTTTGCAAGCTCGAACGTTAGCTTGCGGTTGCCTGAGGCATGCGCCAAACCACGCTGGCGAATTAGCTCAAGAGTTTTCGAAGATAGGCGACTTTTTGTGGCTATCTCTCTCTTGGCGTTCCTCGCACATTCATGGAGGTGCTGAACCAGTCGATCGTATTCCTCGACACTACTTCCACTACCCAGCCGTCGCCACACTCCAGGACGCTTTCCGGACCCGCGCGGCAGCTCCGGCCGAGACCTACGCACAACTGAAGACCCACAGAACAAGGTAAGCGGAACTCTCTGAGACCTTGGACTCCAGGCTCGGCGGACCCAGGGACAGAGCTTCTCTGCTTGCTCCCACCACCACAGGTGACAAAGGGATTCTAATCAGGAGCCCCACCCTACCCTGCCCTGTCTGCTTCCATCAACCACCCAGGGATCGAATTGTGCACAGGAGACCCACCCTACCCAGATAAATATCCCACTGGCAGACTTCCACTCTCGACACTACTTC